TGTAAACTAAATACAGACCGACTGCGGCAGTTTTACACTTCGTTAGCTTACCTTTGCTGAAAAAAACCGGAAAATGATCGGTGGAAAGTCTTCCAGTAGTTTTGATACCAATAAGGAGCGGGCTTCCGCGGCGTGTGGCTACCAACTGACCAGGAAAACGACTGCTTTTAAAAGCTAACGCAAATGCGCCTTCCTGGAAAATGTTTTGGTTATGACTTGCGCTTGTTTGCTTGCGTTGTTTATCTTGCGCATTGGTTATCTTTCCGCATTGGTTATCTTACATCCTTGCGCAAAATTACTTGCGCACATTGGTTGTCCCGAATTATTTGCTTGCAGCATAAAAATATTGCAGAAAATTGTGTTCTGAATAATAGGGTCACTTGTGACTGCTAACCAATGGGAAACTGAGCAACTAATGAACGTGAAGTGAGTTAAAAAAGCGATACTGTTCAGAAGTAACAAAATGCTAACAAGATGCTGAATGGTGGCTTCGACGAGTTGGCGGAAGCTGGCTCCCTCACATCTGGCTGCGATGTGCTGGATGAGCTTGACAATCACTTCCGTATCAGTCTCCGACTCAAATTCATAGCCCTTCTTCATCAAGTACTCCTTCACCTCGCGGTAGTTCGTTATAATGCCATTGTGCACAACGAGAAATTCTTCAACAAAAGGTATTTTTGTTTAATAAGGGTTGGAGACAGTAGCTTTCTTGGAACATTTTTTGGCGGAATTCGCCCTCGAACACCGATACAGACTGTACCAGTAAAATGCGTCGTACAGCAGAATAGCATGAAACTGTGACAAAACGCGGCGTAAAGAGGCACATACCATTCTGAGTATTTGATCGCTGCGGATGCGAATTAACATCTTTGGGGGATCCATGCGTCGCCCATCGAGTATGCGCAATGCCACAGTGTGTTTTGTAAACCACGTCATCTTCGCAAATATGGCTTTCTAAATTCATTTCTTTCAAGCACCCGTGGGTACCGCATTGCTGGGTCCGTTAATTTTTGTTATGGAGTTAAAAACACCTTGGATATGCTTCCTGCACAAAGCATTCAAATAAAAATGGCTGAGAAATACAAGAAAATTTTGTTGGCATCAGTGAACAAACCCTTGATGTAGTCTTCAAGTACGCTTACTTTCCCCACCTTCTTCAGGAGCGCTACCGTCGAGCCAACCTTTGTGTTATCGACACCATTATCCACAGCAAGCCCTACAATGTAAATTACCAAATTTGTTACAAAAAATATTATTGCCAAAAAAAAAA